GCTTGCAAGCTTTTAAGATCCCAGTTGCTACTTGCCAAAGTAGGAGGTGGAACAATGTTTTGTGTAGTATGTTATACCAATTGAGCTTGATGTCCCCTGTGACTATGGTCCTGAGACAATGCCCTTTCTTAAACAAAACAAAACTCTTTTATCTTTTAATTTATTGTTTACATATGATAAAATTCACCAATTTTGAATATACAGTTTGATGAATTTTGATAATTGTATGTAATATATAACCACCATCATCATCGAGATACAGAATGATTCTACTCTTCTGCTGCCATGTGAAGAAACCTGGGTTAGCCTGCTGGAGACATGAAAGGAATGTCATCTTACATCTTCTAACCTCAGTTAAACAGTCAGGTGACCCAAGGTGTATCAGTGACTCTAGGCAAGACCAGCCGAAATTGCTGAGCAAATAAATTGGTTATTGTTTTAAGCCACTATGTTTTGGGGTGGTTTGTTACATAGCAATAAATAACTGACATATGTTAAAAATCCAAATATGACTGTCATTCACCTGCTTACAATCCTTACTTCTCTGTGTTAGCTGCAAGATCAAGTCCAAAGTCTTCCCTGGCTCCTGACTATGGGTCCTCTTTCATCTTCTGCCATCCTGCACTGCTCCCTTTTATCACAGATTCTTTATCCATCCCAAGTATAGCCTGCACCCCTGATATCTCTTTTGTTTTCTTTGTCTAAATGCCCTTTCCCTTCTGTTCCTCTTGCTGGCCCAGATTTCTACGTTCTCTAGGAAGCCTTCTCTGATCCCTCTAAAGCAGGTTGAGTTGTTCCCTCTTCTGTGTTCCCACAGTCCTCTGCTTATACTGTGAATATAGCTCTTATGTTTGCTTTCTCTCCCCAACCTAACCCTTAGACTGAAAATTATTCAGGGCAGGAAGCTGGCATTCATCTTGCAACCTTAACTCCCAGCACTTTGCTTGGTTAATACTAGGTAGTCAACACATATTTGAGTACTTTTAATGTGCTGGAGAGCTCTGATGGTGTAGTGCCTAAGGCATTTGACTGCTAACCAGAAGGCTGGCGGGTTCAAACCCACCAGCCACTCCTCGGAAGGTTGGGCAATCCACTTCCGTAGTGATACTGCCTTGGAAACCCCAGGAGGGGTCGCTGTGATTCATTTGATAGCCACATGAGTGAGCTTGAAAAGGCTCCTTCCCCAGTCAAGCCTTAAGGTGATGGCATTCCTAGTCAACACCTTGATTATAGCTTTGTGAGAGATGCTAAAACAGCCCAGAAAAGCCATGCCCTACTTACTGATCCACAGAAGCTGTGAGATAATAAATGATACGGCTTTTTTTTTTTTTTCAGCAAATA